GCCCGGGATCCGAACCCGGGCCGCCAGCATCAGAGCGCGCGCACTTAACCGCTAAGCCACGGAGCCGGCCTCATCATCTTGTTTAAAAAAATAATTTAAATTAATGACATCGTAAATCAGAATCCCCATAAAGTATATTATATAAATCAACTTAATTTTATGTCCCATATTTAGTTGAAATTAGAAAATTCATAAATTGCTAACATTTTCAGTTACAACTCTGTTATGAAAAACTTGTACAGCTATAGAAATGAATGATTTTTTAAATGTTCTCATTTTGCTATAGCATGAGCTTTTATGGTACAATGTCAATTACTTGAAAAATACATTAAAAACTCTAGTAGGATATTACTTTTACAGACTTAAGATAGAACTAAAATAAGGTAAGGAGAGCATGTTTGAATGAAATGATTTATGGGACCATGTCAAAGAAATCCTGTCATCAGGCAAGTGGTTGCTAATTAATTGGTTATAGGATTAACTTAGATGCAAATTGCCTCAACACTCAAATTCATATATTTTCCAATTTTCTGCTTACTCAGGTTGTTTCTTCCAGATGCCTTTTAGCCCATTTCCAGTAACAGATTCATGAGAATCAAGACTAAGTAGCCAAGCAGCCTGGACTGAAGTAGTACCAGTATTGCCTGGCAGTGATTTTGTTGCCATAACAACTATTTATATATGGCCATATGCCCAGGTAATGTGAGGACCAACTAATATGACAGCTCTTTCTACATCAGAGTTGACAGCTAAACTATTGTGCACTGATATACAGTATGTGCCCATCAATGGTAGAGTAATTTTGACCTAAGATATAACTTAATGCACAAAATTTACAATCAACTAAAAATTATAACAAGAACTATAACTAGAAATATGACAGTCATCCCACATTTGTACACAAAAACTAGACCAACAACAAACTAACGGGATTACAGCAGTTCTTATGTGTGTGCTGGGACAGGCAGGAGGGATGGCATTTCAAGCATGAACAGCCCTACATCAAAGTCAACTGTGCCAACATGTGGCAACCAAAACACGCAGAGCACAAAAACATGTAAGCAGTAGCTGTTTATCCAGGTTGGGCTTTTAAGTGATCAAATTCTGTCCACTTCCTTCTCCAATCCCCTCCTACACATGACCTTTACACATGAACAAGAAGGGACAGGTACCTCTGAAATGATGTAACAGCAACTGCATTTTTTGCTCATGTTCCTTTTGCTGGAGCATCAGTCTCCGGTCACACTGCAATTTCAGATGTTCCAGTGCAGATTCCAACTCACGGACTATATTATCTCGTTCCAGAACCTGCATTTTAATTTCTTCATTCTGTAACTGTAGTTTCCGTTCAGCTTCTCGCAAATTAACCACCTAGAAAAGACATTTTTTGACCCTTTAAGTGTGTGTTAGAAAGCTTAATATAATAGATTAATCTACTTCTCTTAGACTATATAAGATGAACTTCCTTAATCACCATGGTATAACTAGGCAGTGCTTTGTAACATACCCACAAAATAACCTAACGGCCTTTTGAATTTGTTGTTGACTTTCTCTCCAGAAAAATACTCATTTCTACAAAGGGTTCTCAGGATCAGAAAATCCGCTGACCTTGGCCTCGGAGCTCTGAGTTAAGAACCCTTGTTCTAAGAACACCACAAGAGTCATCTATATCAAAGCCCTGGACAGTACTCCACTATTTTTCTGCCCTCCATACACCTGGCAATAGGAGCACTCTCATCAATAATAGTAACTTACTACTGACAGTAATAATCCAAGAGGAGGGCTGTGCATAACATTTCCATTAATTTTTTCATTTTTATTTCACTTGTCTAACAGAATTAGAACTTTATTTTAAAACTTCAGTGTTTTCTTTTTCATTAATTGTCTGATATTCCCTTAAATTGAATATACTTTTCAGAGGAAAAATTATCTACTTGTTTAACACTTCATAATATGTATCTTAAGAGAGGACATTAGAGAAAAGATATAGTTCTCAATGCTATGAAACATCTCTGCATCAGTAAATTGTCAAATTTGTATAAAATATAATATTTTAATTGATATTAAGCATTCAGGTTAATGCTAAAATCTATTACTGTCTTTGCCACTGATGCACCACTTCATTTCCATTTCACTTCACAGGTTACGATGAGAAAGGACAGGTACTCCCACCCTACAGCAATGAAGGAGAGAAAGGGAACTCAAACTTGGAGGGCCCTTGATTGTTCATGAATGCTAAGTAGCAACAACCAAATCTAGAAAATATCAAAGAAATAGTGACTGAGGAATATAACTTAAATTCCTTGCTTTTTAAAACTATTTCAAAAAGCCCTTCTCTCAAGTGGCCCTTAAACTTGAAGAAACCCACAGTTAGGTCTCATGTTTGCATGACCACAAAGCTTTCACACGGCAACATTCAGTACTGGAAACAGAAATCATGCTTGAACTTGTAGTGACACCATCAAATCTTAAGGCCTTTCAATTTCTTTAAAAATTCTAAATAAATGTGGGATATATAAGCATCTTGACCCTCTTTGTAAGAAAATACTCTGTCCCTCAAAAAACAAACCTTATTGAAATATCTGAAAAGAATAGCTCTAATCTCAGTAGGACTCAGGCAAATTAGTTTTTCCAAGACATCTGCTTCACTATGAGAGAGGTTTTGTAATGAAGCTCTGAGCAAGTTCTGGCGACTCTGGATACTTTCATTCTTATATTCAATTGCAGCTTCCAAAGCTTCAATTCCTTCTTCAAGTTGGAAAAGAACATGTTCTTCCTAGATACAATAGAAATTATTCATTTTACATGAACTAGTATAACTTGCACTTTGTCATATACTAAGATCTCACTATGCCATTTGAGTCTTATCGACATTACTACTCTTCTAAATTTTAAGAACATAATATTTATTGAGTACTTCCTATGCTACACAATGCAATACATATATATACAACATATAATCATTGAATCTTCGCAATAAACCTTGAGTAGTAAAATGGAAGAGGCAGAAGCTTAGATGAGTTATGAAATGTCCCAAGGTCATACAGCAAATGCTGTCACCAAGGAATACACTTGAACAAACCTCAGCCCATAGGATTAGCAGTATTGTCATATATCTCCCTCCATTGCTCCTAAAGTGCATGTTATGTTTCAGTGAAATCTGGAGACCTCCTGATGTCCCTTCAAGGATCTATCAAAACATAGGATCTATCAAAACAAGGATCTATCAAAACTTCTTTTCCTCCATTGCTAGGAGGAAAAGAAGAAATAAATTTAGAATAACTTATTAAGAACTAGTAATCAGAGGAGAGTCTCTAGGGAAAAAACACAGTATGGCATAAAAAAGAGTAGTGAGGATTTAAGGACATGAAACATTTCATAAGATTCCTCTAAGATGTTATTAGAGGGAAAATATAGGCATTAAAAATGGTGGTAGCATACCATTTTTTTCATATGCCAGAGACAATTTCCTTTGTAGGAAAAAAAAAATCTGATGAGTCACTGTCAGAAAACCTAGCAGTTCTTTGAACTATCCAAATAACATGTTATTTGAGAGCATCCAAATCTCTGGTAAGAAATTATTTCGGACTTGGTGAGACTTGGATATACATTTCTGTCTACCTGTATGTGTGGTGGAGGTCGCCTCAACTCTAACTTCCTGCGGGCAGACGGTCTTGCCCATACTCTTGTCCTTACTGCCTAGCACAGTACACATCACCTAGTTTACACTCAGTAAGCGTCTGCTAAATGAGTCAATGAAGGAAGAGGAGAAAAACATATTTTTATACACCTTGGTTACATGACCCAAATATTTCTCTCCACTCCTGCTTCCAGCATTTCAAAGGAAAATAATGTTAATATTTCTGATCTACCTAAAGAATAGTTAGAATAACTTCCAGAACTCCTTTTCTGGAATTCAGGAAAAGGTATGTAATAACCTACTCCAGTGGGAAGTTGAATAATACTTATTTTTAAAAGCCATTTTATAAAATCTCCTGAAAGAGCCACTTTGAAAAAAATGTTCAACAGCCATTTTATTTCTCTATGCAATCATTAACCATCAAGAATTTGATGATTTTGGCCGGCCCCGTGGCTTAGTGGTTAAGTGCGCGCACTCCGCTGCTGGCGGCCTGGGTTCGCATCCCGGGCGCGCACCAACGCACTGCTTCTCCGGCTATGCTGAGGCCACGTCCCACATACAGTAACTAGAAGGATGTGCAACTACAACATACAACTATCTACTGGGGCTTTGGGGGAAAAATAAATAAATAAAATCTTAAAAAAAAAAGAAGAATTTGATGATTTGATAACTGCTCCATAAGGAAAAAAATAATATTCACCTTTTTAATTATTATTATTTTTTATTTTTGTTATTATTTTTTATTTTTTTCTGAGGAAGATTAGCCCTGAGCTAACATCTGTTGCCAGTCTTCCTCTTTTTGCTTGAGGAAGGTTCACCCTGAGCTAACATCTATGCCAGTCTTCCTCTATTTTGTGTGTGGGTCACCGCCACAGCATGGCCACCAACAAGTGGTGTAGGTCCATGTCCGGGAACCAAAGTGGAGCCCGCCAAACTTAACCACTAGGCCACGGGGCCAGCCCCGATGTTCACCTTTTTAAAAAAAAAAAAAGGAAAACAAACTTAAATCCTGAAAGGTACTTAGGCGAATGAATAAGAGGAACCAGAAAACAAATATGAATTATCCAAAGAACATATTTGGCTTTTGAATGCATACTGTGATTATATTTTATCAAAAACAAATGTAGAAAGAGTTTGCCTTTATATATGGCTGAGAACAATTTGGTACAAATTTAGTTTCTAAAGTTTTAGATCTAAGTTAAGGAAGCACTGAGACAATATAAGGTAGTGTGACTATAGAACCCTGAGGATAGCCCGCTCCAGTGAAGCTGCTGCATATAAATATTTGCGGTTCCCTCTAACCCAGCAAAAGGTGCGGATTGACAAGATGAGAGGCAAGGAGAAACTGTCCCAGGATGAAAAATTTGCCACACTCAAGCCACAGATTATCAAGAGTTGACTATCCTTTACCATAGAGCACTGCTTTTCAAACATGCACCAGGGATCTTGTTAAAATGCAGATTTCTAATTCAGCAGGTCTGTATGGGGCCTGAGGCTCTGCATTTCTAACAGGCTCCCAGGTGATGCTGTTGCTGCTGGTCCAGAGACCACACTGACAGTAACAAGGACCTAAAGCAATGGTCTCCAAACATTTTAGATTACACATCCCTATCAATAAAAAAAAAACAAAAAAAAACTTTTGAGCAAGCAACTACATATTTGTAGATTTCTCTATAAATTATATGCATTTTCTAATGATAAAACACCAAATTGAAAGGTTAAAAGATGAAATAAACATAGATATAACAGTTCCTGTATTTTCTTCCTATACCCTACTTACTAGGCAACTGCTCTGCATTATTAGAAAAAGAGTTCAAGTATTTTTTTTTAAATTTTAGTTTCTGGATTTTACCAAAAAAAGGAGGTGATTTGTCTATATTAAATTGTTGGGTAAACCTGTACTACTGTAGTGATCTAAAATCTTTCTATCTCTTCCCATGAGTAATACAATTAGGAAAGATATTTTAGTTTATTGTAGAAAGAGAAAATAATTCGAAGCTACTTTAAAGACATCAAAACAGTAAACCATTCCACTTAGATTTTATTGACGTTGTGTCATATCAGAATCTCATGTTCCCAATCACCTGCTATTATTAATCTTGGCTTTAAAATGTGGTGAGAGCAGAGCCCACTTCAGAGCTACACTAAGAAGAACCAACCAGGTGGAAGAACTGACTAAATGGAACCCTATCAATTGTAGGAGGTTCATCATTCCCTCAAACTAATCCAGAGTGGCTGCTAAGTAGGTATCCCGCATGGTGCTGTATTTTCACCACAAAACCCTATATAATGTTTTTAATTAAAGAATTCTACATGAAATAGAAATTTAAATGCTTCTTGATGATAAAAATGGACCCTCTAACCCTTCTGCAAACATCATTTACTCGTTCCCATCGCTACGCCTTAGTTAAGGGTACTTTATCTAAAATAGCCTTCTTTCTTATATCTACTAATACATATCATGTTTTTCACAATCCAGCTCAAGATTTCAATCCACCTGCCTTAATGAATCTTCCCCTAAATGATCACTGCATTGCTTTGTATAAATAACGTAATAAGTATAGCTTTATTACATTGTCTGTAACTTGCTTTTTCATGTTCTTCAGGGTTTAGAGTTTTCTTATATTTCTGTGTCTTTTTCCCCAGAGTATGAATTTCTCAAGAGAAGCATAATAATGCTTTTTTACTTCTTTTGTTTCTTCCATAGGGCCTGGTAACCATCCTAGGCAGGCAAGAATTCCTCAAATACTTATATGTTTTGCAGTATCTTAGACTCTCATACATTCAAATCTACAAGTTTGGGGCTCCAATTTAACAGTCTCAGGAGGACAGTCTGATTCTGTGATCCTCTGTACAGCTACCCAAGTTAAGTTATAAAACAGGGCAGTAGACGCTTTATGCCATATAGCCCCCAATCAAGTTAGTCTCGATTCCTTTCATCAACTCAGTGAGCAATAATCTAATTTTATGAAATTCTTTCTCCTGTTCCTTGTTAACCAGCCTCCTTCGCTTCCTCTCACGCTTGCTCCAATCTAAAACACTACAAGATTCAGCAACGTGCATGATTCCCAGCTACTCACTTTCTGTTAGCAATTTTCTCTTGCTTTGGTAATGACAGGACATCAACAATAAATATTTGCAGAGAAAAGTCAGGCTCAAAAATTCAACTTCGTCTGACAAAGGTAAGGTATTGGTTCCAGTGCCAACTGAAGTAAAATGTTGAAAAAAGACAAAGTCTGGGGCAATTTGATAGGTAATAAATGAAACATCTTTTACATAGTTTAAAAAAATAAAGCCATATGCCCCGTCACAATGAAAACTCCAACTAAAAGGTATTTTTATGGGGATTTGAATTTTGTGCATCTACCTGGCTGGGACTTAGTGTGGAACGTGCTCTTGAACATTGGGCCTTTCTCAACCAAGGCAATATGAAAGAATTGACCCTTACTGCTCTAGGCATCCATTGTATATAAGGAATTACCTAGGATGATTCAAGATAGATGCACAGAGAGAAGGCAGGTGCGCCCTTTGGAAGAACTGAGCAAGAGTCCTTCAAATCATTTTCTGTGTTCCGTGATTTCAGATGAGAAACCCCAGTGGAGAAAGGCCATATTCAAGGAAAGTGTTAGTATCCCAACCCCTGGCAATGCCAGGAAGGGGCCATGTTCATGGACCTCTATGTGAGGACATCGCAGTCTCTAGTCAAGCATGGCTTATGGCACCAAACAGGTGCCATTACATCTGACGAAGTCTCAAGGAAACAAAGTTTGCCAGATTTATCATTTTTATGTTTGACAAAGATGGAGGAAATCATCCAAGTGATCCATCGCACAGCACTTCCAGTTCCAGAGAATACAGACTTACTTCAGGTGATAACACGCTACCATTTTTAAGTTTCTCATCCACACTGTTTCTTCGTCTCTGTAGCTGATCCTTTTCTTTCTGGAGGACTTGAACTTGTTCTGAAATCTTTATTTTCTCCTCAGCTGGGCTGCTCTGGAGCTGCGCGTTCTTTTCAGACAACTCTTGGTCCAGCAAGTTCAGGCGAGTTGATATTTTCAAACTATCCGTGTTTAAGGCCTAAAAAGACACAATCAACCAGACACCCCAAAAACAGTTACTAGAAATCCAAACTGCATATAAATTAGAAAAAAAATAGAAAAAATTACTAAATGAATATATTTTTAGCTTCTGCATTATTGTTTTTGCACATGGATTTACAGAGATTCAATGAATTTACTACCAAGTCTTGCTTAGCCACACCAGACAATTCAACATAGGTTTGGAGAGGCAGTATTTTTTAAATTATTTTCTAAATCGAAATTTTCTTCTTTGGCCTACTACATAGTAGAATTAATCATGTTAAAATTTCCTAAAGGTTAAGATTTGGTTTGTTGTGGTTCAAACATATAATTTGTTTCTACTCTTATTTCATTCTGGTCAGAAAATATGGCCAGTTAGATCTTCATTATGGCCTAATTAAAGATAATTCTTAAAATATTTTTTCATCAAAGTAATTATATGTATATACTACTATAAGGTTTATAATTTTAAAAAAAGCAGTTGTCTACCCCACCCTTTCACCTGAGTCTTACTCCCCAGAAACAACCATCTTCAATTTTTTAGCTATTTCTTCTGGTGTTTAGGCCATGTTTCTAAATTACATTATCAATTTTAGATATTGTCTACTGACTGTCTATTATGGAAGACAAGGATTTAGCGCTCTTTTTTTTTTTTTTCTTGTGAGGGAGATCAGCCCTGAGCTAACACCTGTGCTAATCCTCCTCTTTTTGCTGAGGAAGACCGGCTCTGAGCTAACATGGATTTAGCGCTCTTATGCCTCTTCTTTCCTACTTCTTCTCCCTCCAGTCTCCCAATATTTATTACAGTTTTTCATTAAATCAATATTCAGTTTACATGACCTTGTGAATATTATTCATAGCTGAACTATCTAGTATAAAATGATCATACTTCCACCTGATACAATTTTTTTGGTACTTTATAACTAATTCTTCTCCAAAAGAACTATAAAATTCCTCTTAACACTATTTTTTCATCTGATCAAACTTAAATCAGGCAATTTTTTCATTCCATTCTTTTCTGGAAACATTTTGCCTGGAGCCTCCATTTTCCTGCTCCAAACTGGACAAGTTGCTCTGGGACTTCCCTTTGGTATCACCCTGGGAGTTTCCATACTGGATCACATTTTCAGGATCCTGAGTCTCCTTTTTTCATAGTTCATGCCTTCATTCTTGTGAAGCACATCCTCTAGTATTTTCCCGAGACAGGCTAGGTGAGAGAGAATTTTTTCACCTGAAAATGTCCTTATTCTAACTTCACATTTTATTGAGTTTGGCTAAAGAGAGAATTCTTGATTGGAAATCATTTTCCTTATGAGTTTTAAGATTGCATCAGGTCTTTTAACTTCTAGAAAAAGGCTGAGAAGTCCAATGTTGTTCTGATTCTTGAGATTTACAAGTGACTAGTCTTTTCTACCTGGAAGCTTTCAGGATCTTTTTTTCCTCAGTGCACTCAAAACTTCACAATGATATGCTTTCAGCACTCATTTTGCAGGACCCTTGATGGGCTATTTCAATCCAGAGTCACACATCCTCAGTGTTGCGAAAATTCTTTGTATTATGTTCTTGATAATCTCCTCTCTGCTGTTTTCTCTGTTGTATTTTCTGAATTCTTATTACTTGGATGTTGAGCTTCCTGGATTTATCTACTTAAAGATATTTTTCTCCTATTTTCTATTAATTTATCTTTTTATTTCTTCCTGGGATATTTCCTCAAAATTATCCTCCAATCCTTTTAATTTCCAAGAGTTCTTTCATGTTTTTAATAACCTGTAGTTCTTGTTTTATGGATAATCAGCTTTTACCACCTTGAATATATTAAGGTTTTTTTGAGGTTTTTCAGCTCCTTGCTCTATTTCTAATTTCTCTGAGCTTCTTTTTTTCCATTCGTTTTGGTCTCTGTCTTGAATGTTAGCAGCATTCCTGAAATGTCCATCACACTTAAGAGTCAGGTATTAAAAAGCTGATAAGTTGTGTGGTGGGTAAGATTTGTCACCATAGGATATATCTAGGCTCTACCCCAAATGTAAGTGTTTTACTCGTCTTTTTTCAGGGACTATTTCAGAAAATCCACCAATTTCCTGCTGGGAAGTATAAATCTGGCTGCCAGCATTTCTGGGATCCAAGTGGGGGTTAGGAAATGGATGTCTCAGGATTCACATGTAGACTTGCACTCATTCCCTGATTTGAGTATTCTGACTTACTCGACCCTCTGCTGTGCTTAGTTCAATCTTCAGAAAATAAACCATCTAGTTCCAGAGTGAGAAAAGGATAGTTTCCTGACCACACACTGTTTTTATCCTTCTGCCTCACTCCTGCCTTCTGAAAATCTTGGTCCCTTCATGTCTGAGTCTTTTTCATGTTCTATGTGAATTATATCTCATAAAGCTGTTATTAAAAAAAAAAAGCTAACGCCAAAGCCTTGGCTCTCATTGGTGTCCCTCTCTAGGCACTTGGATTTCAGCTTCCTCTGTTCTGCCAAGTCAGTAACAACTCTCTATTTGCTTTTACACTTTTTTTGGGTAATCTTTTTTCCTCTGTTGTCTCCTCTACTGTTTTTTCCCCTTTATGGGTTTGTAGTTTTTGAGTAATAGCTTTATTGAGATGTAATTCACATACCCTACAATTCACCTATCTAACGTGTATAATTCATTGGTTTTTAGTATATTCACAGAGTTGTGCAACCATCAGCACAGTCAATTTTAGAACATTTTCGTCACCCCCCCCCCCCAAAAAAAACCCCCATACTCACTAGCAGTCATTCCATTTCCTCCCCAACCCCTACCCAGCCCTAAGTAACCACTGTTTTACTTTCTGTCTCTATGGAATTGCCTCTTATGGACATTGATATAAATGGAATCATATGTGTTCTTTTGTGACTGGCTTCTTTCACTTAACATAATATTTTCAGGGTTCTTCCATGTTGTAGTATGTATCAGTACTTCATTCCTTTCTATTGCTGAAAGATATTCCATTGTATGGATGTAGTACATTTCGTTCCATTCATCAGTTGATGGACATTTGGGTTGTTTTCATTTTTTGGCTATTGTGAATAACACTGTTATGAACATTCATGTACAAGTTTTTGTGTGGACATATGTTTTGACTTCTCTTGGATATATACCTAACAGTGGAATTGCTGCGTCATGTGGTAATTCTATGTTTAACCTTTTGAGGAACTGCAAAAAGTAACTGCACCATTTTACAATCCCAGCAGCAGTGTATGAAAGTTCCAATTCCTTCATATCCTCACCAACACTTATTATCTATTTTTCTGATTGCAGCCATGTGAAATAGTATCTCATTTAAGTTTTGATTTGCATTTCCATGATGACTAATGACGTTGAGCATCTTTTCATGTGTTTATTGGCCATTTGTATATCTTCTCTGGAAAAATGTCAACTAGATCCTTTGCCCATTTTTTAATTTGGCTGTCTTTTTATAATTGAGTTGTAAGAGTCTTTATATATTCTAGATATAAGCCCCTTATCAGATATATGATTTGCAAATATTTTCCCCCATCCTGTGGGTTGTCTTTTCACTTTCTTGATGGTATCCTTTACATCACAAATGGTTTTAATATTCTGAAGTCTAATTTATCTAATGCTTCTTTCATTGCTTGTGCTTTAGGTGTAATATCAAGAAACCATTGCTTAATCTAAGGTCATGAAGATTTACACCTATGTTTTCTTCTAAGAGTTTTATAGTTTTAGCTTTTACATTTAGGTCTTTGACTCATTTTGAGTTAAACTGGTATATGGTATGATTATAGTTTTTTTAATATCATGTTCCTTGTCTGAAATGTATATGATTGAGTCTTATAAGTATTGCTTAAACCCTGAAAAAAGACGTAATCTTTTTATGCCTTTTGTTCAGAAAAGAACCCAGCAGTATAATAGTCTCAAGTTTCTCTTTTGTTTCATTAAAACAATCTTCAAAGAATCAATTTTGCTTTGATCTATTGTGGGTTTCATTTATTTGCATTCTACTTATCTCAGTATGTTCTTTCTTCCTAAATATTACATCTTGTTGCAACTAGAAAACAGCTATTTTCATTTTTTTTCCTTTATCATGAAGGAAACTTATTTCAGGAAAAAGAGATTTTCTTCCTCATTCCTTTTTATTTTTTCCTCTTGTGATACAGAATGCATCATAAAGTACCCAGGTTATTTTCTTCTATTTACTCACTTGATGTTTTAATTTGTTAATCTCCTCTGCTGACATTTACATGCTTTGAGGGGCAGCTTTTTTTTTTTTTTTTTGTGAGGAAGATCAGCCCTGAGCTAACATCCATGCCAATCCTCCTCTTTTTGCTGAGGAAGACCGGCCCTGAGCTAACATCTATTGCCAATCCTCCTCCTTTTTTTCTCCCCAAAGCCCCAGTAGATAGTTGTATGTCACAGTCGCACATCCTTCTTAGTAGCTGTATGTGGGATGCTGCCTCAGCATGGCCGGACAAGCGGTGCGTCAGTGCACACCCGGGATCCGAACCGGGGCCACCAGTAGTGGAGTGCGTGCACTTAACCGCTAAGCCATGGGGCCGGCCCTGAGGGGCAGCTTTTAAGACTTGACCCTGACAGCCAGTGTGAGCAAGCTACCTGGATATAGCACCAGCAGTTGGGCTGGTTGGAGGGTTGCCCCTACCCCTGTGTCCAACAGCCTGGTGCTAATAGCTATTTCAACGTGATTGGGAACAGAGGACAGAGCAGAGGTAAGTAATGCCTGTCTACTTGTTATTTTGAGGTGGAGAGGTTAAGAAAACACCACCATCAACTCAGGTCCTACTGATCTAGTTGCTAGCTGTAAGGCAGATCTAATGAAGAGGCAGGTCACTGATCCTCTCTGTTCCATGACTCAATGTACAGACTGACCTCAGACTCAAGGCTGGCTGGAGGCAAAGGTTTGGGCAGAAAGTCCTCTTTGAGTCTGGGGCAAGCCAGCTTCATGTTTAGATGCTGGTGCTCTTGTTGAAAATACATATAGATATATCCAGAAAAGTATCTCTTGGTCCTTCTACTCCCTCCACAATCATTCTTTTTTCAAAACTTGAAATGGAGGCAAATTCCTTCATAAAACCACTTCTTTCACTGGCTCATAAAATCCAAGTTCTCAGCAAAAATTTTTATAAAGGTCTCCAAATCTTTATAATTTGAAAAATAAATGTTCTGTACAAAAAAATCTTCTTTCTTTTCTAAGAACCCTGCAAACCCCTCACTTGGGGTGGCAGTAATAGCTAAATCATTTTCAAGTCTATTTTTCCAAATTACCAATGTTCACTCTACAGCATCAAATAGTACAATTTATTCTAAAAAGATCCACTGAAGTTAATAATAGAGGTTGCCAGGGGAAATGGAGTTATTGCTTAATGGTTACAGTTTCTGTTTGGGGTCATTAAGTTTTGGAAATAGATAGTGGTAATGGTTGTACAACATTGTGAATATAATTAATGCCACTGAACTGTACACTTAAAAAATGGTAAATTTTATGTTATATATGTTACCACAATTTTAAAAACATTAAACAAAAGTTAATAATAAATAAATCATACTTGGAAAAACATTGAACATTTTACTTAAAAACAGCAATAGATTTTAGTGATGGTCATTAGATAAGCAATAATAAGAAAAACACACTGAAAACCAGAAGAATAATTTTCTTTTGATTTCTAACTTCACAATGGTATGATTTACTTCTTAGAGAAAAAAATCCTAGTTTATATGGCTTACAACCAGAATCAAACAGCATATTAAACAGAATACCTGACTAGATCTCAACTTCTTATTTTCCAGGTGGTTCTTCTCCTGTAACAGGGCCTCCTTCTTAGAAATTATAGCCTCCCGTTTCTTTAAGTCTTCTTCCAGCTCTTCTAATTCTTGGCGTTGGTTCAGAACTTTCTCTACTTCTTCATCTAACCATTTCTTTTGCTCATCCAATTTCTACATTAAAATTCCAAAGAAATATCATCATTTGGTTTTCTTCTGCCATAAAACTTATATGGTAATAATATAATTTCAGATTGGCTGAAAACACCTTAAATGAACATTTAAAATCCAGCCATTTGTGACAACATGGATGGACATTGAGGGTATTATGCAAAGTGAAATAAGTCAGAGGGAGAAGGTCAAATACCGTATGATTTCCTTCATTAAGTAGTAGATAATAACAACAATAAACAAACACATAGAGACAGAGATTGGATGCGTGGTTACCAGAGGGGAAGGGGGGAGGGAGGAGGGCGAAAGGGATAATTCGGCACATGTGTGTGGTGATGGGTTGTAATTAGTATTTGGGTGGTGAACATGATGTAATCTATGCAGAAATAGAAGTATAATGATGTACACCTGAAATTTATACAATGTTACAAACCAATGTTACTGTAATAAACAAAAAAATAAAATAAAATAAAAAATAAATAAAAAGAAAAGAAAAAAATAAAAATAAAAAAATAAAAACTACCAGTGTGAATAACAAAATAGTGTTGCTATCTAAAACCGTCAAGAAGTAAGTGGTTATAGTTAACATCTTGCTGTATTGTTTTTATAAGGAACTGAAATTTACTCCCCAAATATGTTTGAATCTGGGATTTTTTTAGGCTGACAAAGGGCTGACAATTTTCTTTATATGTAATAAGAGTTAGTTCTGAGAACATGCTGGGAATCTTTTTCTCTGTTGTAGAGGTGCATACTTCCATCACAGCACTTACACTGCTGGTTCACCTCTCTATCTCCAACGCCTGGTATGACTGGCCTTCAATAAAATGTTAAATGAATGACTGAATGAGCACCTGATTCAATCAATTAATCAATGAAGTGAATAAATGAATACACACAGTGGAAGACATAGATGATAGAGCATGGAAATCCAATCTGCATTGTAGACTGTCAACATCAAATAATTATAAAATAAATTGAGCTGGAAAGATCTCCAAAACAAGCATGATAATACTATTTTAAATTAAGGATACCCAGAAACAAGTACAAACAAAAATATGAATGGAATATGACTGTCCAAGATGAACTCTACCAAGTGCCCATCTGTATTGTGGACATAATAATGAAGCAATGCCCCTCAACAACAAATAATAGGAAAACAAATCAAAATCGCACTATTTTCCAGTTCTTCTCAAACTTGATAAACTCATTCCCAAAAATCTACATTAAGACAATAAGACTGAATATGCATAAGAGAGCAAAGTGGCCAAGACAAAGTAGATCCAGAGCTATGCAGTATTCCATCCAGACCTGGATAGTACGGCCTTATAAGCACTGTCACATCCAAATAATACTGAAACTTAAAACAGTAGCTCTATAATATTAGGAATGGGAAGGATATCCCAGAGCAACTACAGAAATACTTTAATTTTGTTATATCCAACTATACTTTAGAAACTCATATAGGAGACCCTGTGAAGTCTAGCAATTAACTTAAACGTATTCTACACACATTCCTTCACTGTGAGTGGGGTTTGAAAGATGAATGAAGGATCTTTTGTAAGCTCCATTCCAACAAGAGAGAAATAAAAATGATGATTGTTTGATAATACATGCTATATACAGCTAATTCCTAGATACCATGTAAGCAAAAATGGAGAGAGGGATCGGTTCTGTCTGGGAAATGGAAGAAATGTCAGAGTAGCCAATATTCTCGCTGTGCTTTGAAGAATGGATAGGAGTCTGCTAACATAATACAGGTTTCCAGGGAAACCAATAATAAATGAATGAATTTATCTTCATTTGATATAATAAAGGTTATGATTTGTGTGATTCACTGTATCTAAGTACGTGTTCTGAAAATTTCTTGATTTGTCTTTTCTCTTCTTATAGCAAAAGTTCCTACCGCTTCCTATCTGGGCCGGCCCTGTGGCTTAGCGGTTGAGTGCGTGCGCTCCGCTACTGGTGGCCTGGGTTCAGATCCTGGGCGTGCACTGACGCACCGCTTCTCCGGCCATGCTGAGGCCGCGTCCCACATACAGCAACTAGAAGGATGTGCAACTATGACATACAGCTATCTACTGGGGCTTTGGGGAAAAAAAAAAGGAGCAGGATTGGCAACAGATGTTAGCTCAGAGCTGGACTTTCTCAGCAAAAAGAGGAGGATTAGCACGGTTGTTAGCTCGGGGCTGATCTTCCTCACAAAAAAAAAAAAAAGCTTTCTATCAAATCAATGTTCTATTATAAGCTCTTTGCATACTTATATTCATTAACTTATAATCTTGTCCTTATTTAGAGTCAAATTCTGAAAAATGGGTTTTGTTTTGCAACATTAAAAAACACGAAGTGTTTTGGGGGGAATAAATAGAATCTAGTGAATAAGGATTTCATGCTTATATTCCACAACATTCAAATAAACCCATTTCTAATGAAATAAAAATATAGCACATTTCTGGATAATAAAGTAATTTTTTAATAACAGAGGTTTCAGAAGAAATACTGGAAATTTTGCACTCTAGTGGCAAAGTCTAGTGTTCGAAGATTTTATTCTGAGTCCAGCACTCTTTACCTCTATTTAGACAATCATCAAATGGAAGAGAAACCAGGAAACACTAAATAGAATCGACAAACCTGGAGTTGGTCTATATTTCCAAACGAACCTTTTTTCCTTTTCATCTTCAATGCATCTAGATCCTCAGCTTTCAGTTTTAGACCTTCTTCCTGTTCTGTTTTTAATTTTAGTTCCTGTAGAAAACAGAAATTGAAAACACCTTATTACTTTTACTACCTGGCCATCATTAAATATTTATGCAGATAATCATTTTCTTAACATTTACTTTCTTAGTTGCAAAACAAAAGAAAATAAGTAGATGAAGGTTAGAGCTACTTGAGGAGAAAATAATGTTAGCCCCTCACTAAAGCAATCAATTCTCACAGCAAAAAATCAGGGTTTACTAAGAAAACTAAGTATTTTTTTTTTCATTCTTTGCCACTGTTACATACCAGGGATAAGCATCTGAAAATTCTAAATGTGCTTTTCTGCCTTTCTGAGTTCATTACCTTCAGTTAGTCCATCCAAGGCACCCATCTGCCACAGGGATATTAAAATTTATGACAGTAGAAATGTAAAAAGAAAAGTAATATTCCGTTTCTGGCATTCAAAAATTGGATTTTGCAGCATGTGAATAGCCTTGCAAGACAGATCATGGTCCTGTGAAGAGTATTCCCAAATTCCTTTAGTTTCCATCCACATCTTAAGAGACAAGTCAAGAGGCCCAGTGCTCATGGCACTCTCCTGGGGCTTAGAGAAAATGCCACTGTCACCACTAAAGCTTAGCAGGAATCAGGAAGGAGGCCGTGAATCGAAGTGGGCCAGTCCACATACTATCTTACTAGTACCATCATGGATAAGTACAGAAATTAAAAGAAAATTTTTAGAAATTTTTATAGCAATTTGACAAAATAATTTTTATGTCTGTTGAATCTAATAATTAAAAGATGGACTTTTATAGGATATTTTAATTTTTTGTTTCATTTTTCTACTCGTTCATGTTTTACAAAGGTACTGAGCTGTGACAAATTAGTAATAAAATTAAAACTGTACCTTCTCCACAGTTAATTTCAGAAGTACTGCTATAGAGGAAGTAAAAAGAAAATCTACCATTTTACAGTCCTGGGAATGGCAGAAAGGAGAAAAGAGACAGTAAGATGTGTGTCTCAATGTTCCTCTCTTGAGTTTTGGCCTGGAAAGGGGGTGATAAGTAAAGGTATCACTGAGGGCAGAGGGAGAGAATGTAGACTGCAGTGCAGAGGCCCCACACCAACATAGGGCTGCCCACCCTTGAGAAGGAGCAGAGAAGTACAGTCAGGAAAAAGAAACTGATTGGACTCCTTGGCCTCAGGTGACATGGATCCTGAGTTGAGAGCCAACGGGGGTCAGTTATTGTGGGGAACTGATGCCAAAACTGAAGGTGAGGACAGGCCACTGGGCTAACAAGCTACATGGAAGACCTAGTAGCCTAAAGAGGGGTTTATAATGCCATTAGGAGATGAGATGAAGCCAAAGCACCTCCAAGCTCTACGCTGAAAGCGAGATCAGACTGAGTTATACCAGCCATGAGCTTCATCAGCAGGGGCCAGCAGAGAAAGGTGGACGAGGGAGAGCAGATTCCAGGCAGTCACATCCAAGGACCAACTGCAACTCAGGAAGTCCCTTCCCCCTCGACTCCATGGAACCAACAAAAGCTACACACCTGACCACCACATATACCAGATTCCAAGATGCAAAGGGAGAGATGTATAGGGAAGAAGCAGCCAAGAGACTGAATATTCTTTTTTTTGTTAGGAAGATTGGCCCTGAGCTAACTACCATCTGTTGCCAGTCTTCCTCTTTTTTTTTTTCCTTTTTTCTCCCCAAAGCCCCCAGTACCCAGTTGTATATCCTAGTTGTAGGTCCTTCTAGTTCTTCTATGTGGGATGGTGCCTCAGCATGGCTTGATGAGTGGTGAGTAGGTCTGCGCCTAGGATCCGAACAGCGAACCCTGGGCCACCGAAGCGGAATGCACAAACTTAACCGCTGTGCCACTGGGCTGGCCCCAAGACTGAATAGTCTTATTCAAGAGAGCTGAGAATTATTTAAAGAAGATTTTTAAAGAATCAGAATAAGTGTGAACAGACAGGACATTTGCTGAGTTCCCACCATATTTCCAGCAATTACCATGACATGGATTGGGCGGGGGGTGTGGGAGCTCATAAAGAAGAGAGGTCTGCTATAAGCTAAATAAAGAAATTTCTCACGCCCATCGGAGTTGTATTATGAGTGAATTTGGACCCTGTTATATTTACTAGTCATCAATTTTTCATGCTACCCTAGTTCCAGTGCATAGTTGTAACTTAGCCCCTGTCACCGTCACAGCAACTTCAGGATGCCCAAATAAAGGCACCTTATACTTGGAGCTGACTTTCCACTATTTTTATTCTCCCACAAATGCTTTAAAAGTATATTACAGTAGGTCTAATCCCCTCTTCTACATGTTGCTCTAGACATTACTGCCTTTATCTTATATTGTAATCCTGCATAATATTAAAATAACTATCTACCAGGCACTGTGCTAGGTTTTTAAAATCTATTTAATTATCCAATCCTCACAATAATCCTATGAGACAAGAACTATTCTAAACTCCATTTTATGGATGAGGAAATTGTGCTTAGAGAAGTAAAGAGCCCCACCACACTATAGCCCACAATTTCAGGGGTTCCCATACCTTTTCTTTATAGATCATCCACGGACTTCAGCTAAGAACTGCTGCTCTAAGGAGAATCTATGCAGAAGTTGTAGTATTCTCTGGAAATGGTTCAGTCAAGTGGAAAATGGACAAAAAGGAGTGTCAGAAAGTTAGCTCCAAACAGCAGGCAAGCTGTCCTTTAGAACTGTGAGCAGGTTTTCTGTTTTTGCATGAAGTAGTAGAAACTTCAATATAACTTGGGACAGACTGTTCCTTTTTCTGGAATACTCATTTTCCTCCTTAAATGCGTCATTTCCTTCTAATGAAAGATATGGCTAGAAGGAACACAATTGCCCTAGATAAGAATGTAAAAAGTTTAAGTTACAGGAAGAGTTGCATTTCAGCAGATTGTGCATTCTGACAAAAAGAGTTTTTTCTTTTCCCTAAGTATAGACTTGGAGAGTGCTACATCTTAGTAGGTTAAGTCATGGTCTATGAGAGATGAGAATCTGAGACTCAAAGACCATAAGACTGACAGGCAGGCCTGATCCTCACATTGGAAGAAGGACTGTAACAAAGAGATTAGGTTGTTGGCAGTAAAAATGAGAATTGAACAGACTCAAGATATAAGTGGTTCATTAGATATGGGTGATGAGGACGATGGCAGAGTTAAGGATGACTCCTTAATTTCTAGTTTACCCAACTGAATGGATTGAAATTTCATGTGAGACACATTGGAAAACTATATTTTCTTCCTCATCAAAGGAGAAGGGACAGGGAATAGTGGGGAGATAAGTAATGAAGATCATGAGTTCATCTATAAGACAACTTAATGAAGAGGTCAATGGTTTGATATATGAATCCAGAGCTCACAGGACAAATCTGGAACTAAGGATTAAATTTGCGAGTTGTCAGAATTTAACTGCAGCCACGGAAAAAGATGAGGTCACACAGGAAGAATATAGAAGATAAGAGGGCAGAGGCTACTAATTGTTAGGGAATTGCAAATCAAAACCACAATGAGATTATCACCCCATGCCCATCAGAATGGCTATCATTAAAAAGACAAGAGGGGCCGGCCCAGTGGCATAGTGGTTAAGTTCGTGTGCTCCGCTTCAGTGGCCTGAGGTTCGCTGATTTGGATCCTGGGCACAGACCTACACACCGCTCATCAAGCCATGCTGAGGCGGCGTCCCACATAGAGCAACTAGAAGGATGTACAACTATGACATACACCTATCTACTGGGGCTTTGGGGATAAAAAAGGGAAAAAGGAGGAAGATTGGCAACAGATGTTACCTCAGGGCCAATCTTCCTCAAGAAAAAAAAAAAAGACAAAGAACAAGCGTTAGAGAGGATATGGAGAAAAGACAACCCTCATACACTGCTCATGAGAGTATAAACTGGTGCAGCCATTGTGAAAAACAGTATGGAGATTCCTCAAAAATTAAGACTAGAATTGCCAAATGATCCAGCTGTTCCACTTCTGGGTATTTATCCAAAGAATACAAAAACACCAATTCGAAAAGATATATGCACCCCTATGTTCACTGAAACATTATTTACAATAGCCAAGACATAGAAACAACCTAAGTGCCCATCGACAGATGAATGAATAAAGAATATGTGGGATATATACATACAGACAATGGAATACTACTCAGCCATAAAAAAGATGACATCTTGCCATTTGCGACAACATTGGATAAACTGTGAGTGTATTATGCTAATCGAAATAAGTCAGACAGAGACAGACAAATACCACATGATTTCACTCATATGTGGAAGATAAACACATAGATACTGAGAACAGATTGGTGGTTATCAGAGGGGAAGAGGGTAGAGGGAGGGCGAAAGAGGTAAAAGGCAGACATTTGTATGGTGACGGGTGGAAACTAGACTTTTGGGGGTGAACACGATGCAGTGTATACAGAAGTTGAAATATGATGTACACCTGAAATCTATATAATGTTATAAACCAATGTTACCTCAATAAAAAAAAAAAAGAGGGCAGAGGCTACAGCCTTGAGGAATTTCCATATGTAAAGGACTGACAGTGTAGGATGAGCCGGCAAAGACAGAAAATAAGCAATCAGAAAGAGAAAAAAACAAGGAGAGAATAATTTCACAAAGGCAAATAATTCACAAAAGGGAAAATATTTCAAGATAGAGGGAGTGGTGAACTACGCTGGATGCAACTGAGGTGTTAAAATAAGGACGTTAGTGACAGAGAGAGCACTAGTGAACTTCTCAAGAGTTTTGAAGTGGATGGTCAAGCCAGGAGCCAGAAGCTGGACTGGAGAGGATCAGAGAAGGAAAGGAAACAGAGGAAACCGAAACAAACGCAGTAAACTTTTCCAAGAAGTTTGGTTATAAAGAGGAGAAGAGAGAGACAGTAGTATAAAGTTGAAGAAGGATAATTTTAGCATGAGAAAAATCTAAGATGTTTAAATAAAGAATCTAGGAGAAAAAGAAAAGTTGAAAAAAGGAGAAAAAAGGATTAAATGAGATAAAGCGCATAAGTGCTTAGCATAGTATTGACTGAAGACAAATAATAAATGTTAACTACTGCTACAATAATAATAATTATTATTATTAAAAATGAGTAACTCAAGGAAAGAAAGAAAGCAATTCCATTTACAATAACAACTAAAAGAATAAAATATCTGGGAATAAATTTAGCCAAGGAGGTAAAAGACTAGTACACTGAAAATTATAAAACACTGCTGAAAGAAATTAAAGATCTAAATAAATAGAAAGACACCCCAGGCATATGGATATGAAAACTTAATATTGTCATGATGTCAATACTACTCTAAGAGATCTACAGATTCAACAAAATCCATATCAAAATTCCAATGGCCTTTTTTGCAGGAATGGAAAAGTTGATCCTTAAATTCATATGGAATTGCAAGGGGCCTCAAATAGCCAAACAATCTTAAAAAAGAAGAACAAAGTTGGAGGACTTACTTCCCAATTTCAAAACTTACAACAAAGCTACAGTAATCAAAACAGTGTGGCACTGGCATAAGGACAGACATATAGACAAATGGAACAGAATTGAGAGTTTAGAAATAAATCCATAAATCTATAGCCAACTGATTTTTGACAAGGGTACCAAGTCCATTCAATGGGAAAAGAATAGTCTCTTCAACAGACAGTGCTGAAACAACTGGATTTTCACATGCAAAACAATGAAGGTGGACCCCTACCTCACACTATATACAAAAATTAACTCAAAATGGATCAAGGCCCTAAATATAAGAGCTAAAACCATAAAATTCTTAGAAGAAAACATAGGGGTAAATTTTCATGACCTTAGATTTGGCAATGGATTCTTTGACATGACATCAAAAGCACAAGCAACAAAAGAAAAAATTGATTAATTGGACTTTGTAAAAATTTAAAACTTTGGTGCATCAAAGAATATTATCAAGAAACTTTAAAGACAACCTACAGAATGGGAAAAAATATTTGGAAGTCATGTATCTGATAGAGTTTAATGTCCTGAATACATAAAGGACTCCCATAACTCAACAACAAAAAGGCAAACAATCTAATTAAAAAGTAGACAAAGAACCTGAATAGACATTTCTCCAAAGAAGATATATACAAATGGCTAATAAGCACATGAAAAGATGCTCAACATCATCATTAGAGAAATGCAAATCAAACCCACAATGAGACACAAGTTCACATGTACTTGGATGACCAAGAAAAAAGAAACAAAGTAAGTGTTGGAAAGATGTGGAAAAACTGGAACCCTCGTATATTGAAGGGAATGTAAAATGGTGCTGTCGCTATCAAAAACATTTGGTAGTTTCTCCAAAAGCTAAGCAATTCCACTACTAGGTATTTCAATTCCAAAGGAATTGAAAGCAGGGACTCGAACAGTTATTCGTATGCCAATGTTTATCACAGCATTATTCACAATAGCCAAAAGGTGGAAACAAGCCAAGTGTCTATCACAGATGAATGGATAAACAAAATGTGGTATATGCATACAATGGAATATTACTCAGCCATAAAAAGGAATGAAGTTCTGATACATGCTACAACATGGATGACCATGAAAACATTCTGCTAAGTGAAATAAGCCAGACACAACAAATATTGTAGGATTCCACTTTTATGAAATATCTAGAATAGGTAAATTCATAGAGACAGAAGTAGATTAGAGGTTACCAAGGGCGGGGGGAAGGCGGGAATAGAGAGTTATTGCTTAATGGTTAAAGAGTGTCTGTTCAGGGTGATGAAAAAGTTTTTGAAACATATAGTGGTGATGGTTGCACAACATTGTGAATGTAATTAATGTCACTGAACTGTATACTTATGCATGGTTAAAATGGTAAATTTCATGTTATATGTATTTTACCAAAACTTATAAAAATTAATAATGTAATATACTAAAACCCATTGAATTATACACTTTACATGGGTGAATTGTATGGTATGTGAAGTATATTTCAATAAAGCTGTTAAAAAAAAAGGATCAGTAACTTGGCTTAAATGCTCTTTAAGGACCCTTTTATCGCTAAATTCTGTGATGTTTTTTAAGTTCTAGGAATAGATTATATTCCAAAATGAAGAATCTAGGAAATCTCCACTTATGTTCCAAGACTTGGATTTGACGTAACATTTCAATAAGACAGAGCCTGGTACATAGTGCTAGATAAGTGTTTGTTATTGTTTTTATTATGATCATTATCATCCTCTTCTTCAAAAGAGCCCTGTGAGGCAAGTATGATTAAGTCCATTTTAGATAAGAATAAACAGACTCAGAGAGGGTAAGTAACTTTCTCAACAAATGATCCAGCCAGGAAGTGAGAGAGCTGGGATTTGAACCTATGCTGCCCTGGCTCCATAGCCCCAGCTGACACCACCTGTTCCTCCCCAGCCCAATCCACTCTACAGAACTGCTGTGCATACAGGTCTGATCACTCTTCTGCTCACTACGAATGAAATGGTACCATTTTACCTTTCACTTTTTTCCATGCTGTCACATGGACCATGCATGTCAAAGCACTCTGACAATGGGAAATCCTATTCAAATGTTAGATATTTTTTAGAAAGTCAGCTTTATATATTTATATTTTTGACAGCCTCAACTACAGTTAAGATCCTAGTAGAGAAATTATCACTGTACTTTCTTTTGTGAAGTCAAAGCCTTGAAGACAGTACTCAGAATTCAATAAATAGGTTTTACTATGTAGATGAACAAAACTTTAAAGTGAATGAAGACAGTAGCCCAGGACAGGCCAAGGTTAGATACCTCACAGGCCAAGTGAATCAAGACCTTGGCTTCCTTAGCTCTGAGCTGTTTAACATTTCTTATTATGCTTAGCAGGAAAGTATGACAATATTACTTTGATTTTTTGTTGATCCCGCTTAATTTCTGCATCCAGTTGCTTCTTTTTTTCGTTTTCTTCTCGAAGTCTTTTTTGCAGCTGTACCTTTTGAAATTTCATGTGATCTATATTCTGCTCTAGTTCATTAGCACGTTTCTCATTGTGGATGGACAGTGATGCCAATTTCTTACTATTTTGTTGCTTCTTCTGTAAGACCTGGGATCATGTGGGACATTTCAAAATGAAAAACTGCATTTCTCACAAACTTCAAGTAAACTTAAACTTTTCATTCAATGGCAAGGGTAGGCATTTTGCCTCAATTTTAACTTATTTTTGATAGGTTCACAACTGTTTTCCACATTTCTACTTTTACAACCAGGCAACCATCATACTTTTCACTAGATATAAAGAATGATGATTCTTTCTGATGCTGACAACCAAATAGAACAAAATCAATCTCTTTGCTTTTTTATTAATAAGTAATTTAAAAATATTATATGTACATGATAAAAATTAAAATACAAAACTGAACTTATATTTTTAAAAACTCTGTTATCTCAAACCCCCTAATTTTCCTGTCCTGCTTTCCAACACAAAATTACCTATTTCTTAAACATTCTTCCAGAAATAATTTATATGCATGCAAGTCACTTCATATATATTCTAGATAGACTATTCTCCACCTCCCTTTTTTCCTACTTAACTCATCTTAGAGGTCTTTTCACATAGATTTATTCTGTCTATGTGACTGCATAGTATTCCACCATGTTCCTCTTTTACATCCAGCTATAGCCTAAACCATTAATCCCTGAGTTAAGACACTCAGAATTGATACTATTTTTCCTGAGTGACCAACCATTATAATTACTATTTTAACTATCTTAAATAAAGCTTCCCCTCATCTAGCTAAAATTATCTATAGATAGCATTAAAAACTCGTGATCATTTTTAAAGGATTTACACTACTAATATAAAATACCAGAGTGTTCCAATTGAATCCTGATCAAACAAACACTACACTTGTATTATGTGCTTTAGCACTGCACTAAGTACCTCTTAGGTGACATAAAAAGGTTAAGGTGAGGTCATTTGTAAATTATTCAGACTATAATTAATTATTTCCTTTATCTTGCAATAAATTGTTGACATAAACACATCTTATTTTAATTAAACTAAGTATTCACAGAGACATCATAGCTCAGAGCAGTGCTCCTCAAAGTGTGCTCTGTGGACCAGTGCCAGCCACAGACTTGTCGTCAGCCTGTACCACTAAGCACCCTATTAGATTCAGCTGACATTGTTTTCATTCCAGACTTTTTCGATGAAGGAAGCTGTGCTCCCATTTACCTATATCTCATCACAGACCAATAACGAACAATCAGCAGACGGACTACTTTGAGGACCACTGGCTTGGAGGTCACAGGCCTCTGCATTTTCCCATCCCTGGATTTGGACATTGGCTTTGCCACTTACTTTTGACAATAATTGCAATACTGGAGCATTTTAGTATCTTTTCCACATAATATTGAAAACATCAGTATAAGTATTGATAATCCTATTTAAAAGTGAGATAGATTGTCCTTGTCTTAATCTGAGCACTTATTCCAGACGCTCAGAAGTGCACCTCTGTTAGCATTAAAATACTAATGCAGCATATTACTCTCTATATGTACCTAAAGACATATAGAATACAGATTTTAGATTTTTAAAATTAAAAAAAATTTTAAGTTTTAAAAACTAAAATAACTTGATTATACCAATAAAAATGGTAGTATTTCAATATTTAAAAATGGTATGTGGGCCGGCCCCGTGGCTTAGCGGTTAAGTGCGTGCGCTCCGCTGCTGGCAGCCCGGGTTCAATCCCAGGCGCGCACTGACGCACCACTTCTCCGGCCATGCTGAGGCTGCGTCCCACATACAGCAACTAAAAGGATGTGCGCCTATGACATACAACTATCTACTGGGGCTTTGGGGGGAAAAAATAAATAAATAAAATTAAAAAAAAAAAAATGGTATGAGATTGGGGCCGGCCCGGTGGCGCAGCGGTTAAGTGCTCACGCTCTGCTTCGGCGACCCAGGGTTTGCAGGTTCGGATCCCGGTCGAGGACCGACGCACTGCTTATCAAGCCATGCTGTGGTGGCATCCCATATAAAGTAGAGAAAGGTGGGCATGGATGTTAGCCCAGGGCCAATCTTCCTCAGCAAAAAGAGGAGGATTCACAACAGATGTTAGCTCAGGGCTAATCTTCCTCACAAAAGAAAAAAAATGGTATGAGATGTTAAGAGTGCTGAAAACCGTTAGTGTCATCAAAACTATGTGACTCTGAATGAATTATTTTACCTTTCTAAACCTTAGCTTCCTCATTTGTAGAACAGGATAAAAATACCCACTTCAAAGGATTAAATAATGATTAAATAATACATATAAAACATCTGGTACATATATAGCACTTTGTAGACACTTAACGACTGGTAACTATTGTCCACCTCCTCATCCCCACCACCATCCTCATCATCTTTATCATCCCCATCCCATCAGTTGTGCAGGAATATGTCAAAGGCACAGAAATTTCTAAAACTACATGGGAATCTTGTTTTACTCCTGGGTTGTACGAGATGTTTTTTTGAGCTTAATTAAATTCTGTGTCTTCTTTCCTTTCCTTATTAGTACCCTTAGCAGAAAAAGATATGCAGAAAGAAACATGTAAAACAAAAAGAACATGGTAATTCACAAACCCTATTAATAATCTTTCATTTAATCTTTTAATCTCAACCATTTTAGTTGTGTGAGATAGAGAACATAAAAAAATAATCTTTGCTAAATCCACAAATAAGGCTTAAACTATAGATGTATATGATAAATATAATAACCTCCTTAGAAAAACAATAATTGTGGTTATTACTTATTGAGTATAAAAATTACAATCAGAACTGAAGCTAGGATATAAAACTATGATAGTATAAATAAAATTTCATAATAAACACAAAGGAAAACTCTTAATTGTTTTGTTCTACTAATGTTATGTTAAAATGAGTACTTTGTAAGACATTGCAGCCTTAATTTAAAGGGTGAAGAAGTGAAAAAGAACTGATCTCAAGACACTGAGGTGAACGGCTAAGTGAAAATATGTATTCTGAAAATAAGTATTCTGAAGGAAAGTAGAAGGTGTGACATATACTACCACCATGTCCTCCTTTAAGCAGTTCAAACATTGAAGTCATATTAGTTTATCTTGGTGTTGACTTGAGAGGCTACTGAGGTAAAACATTGTAGTGGAGATGTCCAGATGTTTGAGGAGGAATTAAAAACCCTAAGAGGAGGGACTTTTTGGTCTGTTCACCTCTGCATTCCCACCTAGAATAGGACCTGGAGCACAGGAGGTGTGTAGTCAACACTTACCTTGTTGAAAGAAAATAACTGTGGCATGGTTTCAAAAATGAATAAATAATGCTCTGAACAGGTTAACTACAATTCCATTCTACCTACGGTGGAAGCAATATGATGGCAACAGATTATGAATGAAAAGAAAGGAGAAGGCATTCTGGCAAATTCATTATTATCAGACTAACAAAGCACTCTGACATCCAAAAGCATCTGAAAATGGCTTCAGTACACAAAATCTCTCTGTAATGGAATATTTCTCATAGAATAGAATTTTTAATTATAGCTATTTCTGAGGTTATAGCTAAATCCAGCATTAGGAAATTAAGAATGGTATGTAGTTATTAAGTTATTAACCTTTATTAAACCAATCGGTTATGGTTTCAGAAAACTGTCTGAAATAGTTACCATTTGTTGAGTGTCTACAAAGTGCCATACAGGTACCAGATGCTTTATATGGATTATTTAATCACTAGTTAATCTTCTGTCCTTCAGAAAGGAAAATATTTCTGTGGTTATCTTTATTTCTTACCATATGGTTTTTGATAAAAAGATTAAAATAATATACTTATTGAATGAAGAAATATACTACCCAGATTGAAATTATACAAACCTACCAGCACACTGGAAAAGAAAAGTTGCCATCCAGTTTCTTTTGCTAGTAAAAACTGAATCCTACTTCTTTCCTAACCAGGTACAAAGTCCTCAAAAGAAGGAAGCCTTAAATAAGTCTTCTCAATTACATTTTTAAAATTACCTGGACTCTTAGCTTTGCAGCATCCATCTTTTTACGGAACTCCTTCTGTAATTTTACCTTCAAAGCAGCATCAGAAAGATCTTTGTTTTCCAGTTCCTGTAGCTGCTTTTGTGTTTCAGTTAATTCCACTTTCGCCTGTTCTGCTTCGTGCTCAAGTTTTGTTACTTTCAGAGAATACTGTTTGCTTACAGACTTGGCATCGTTACCTTTACCATAATAATAATAGTAATAACAATTATAAATTATGTAAAAAAGAAAAACTAAGTAAAACATCAAAAACATAAAAATGCTCTACTCTTAAAAATCCAGCTGGCTGTTAACTATTTAAGGCATAGCATTAAACACACAGTTGTCCCCACCCATCCCCATCAAACACAACCTGCCACCTGGCCTCTTAACAATGAGTTCCTTAACGATCGTTCCCATCTGGTGCCATTCAATCTTCTCGTGGTTCATCTCTTGTGTTTTAGTGTGATATTTCTGATCTTCTGAATTTGCAGTTTAGCTTGGCTGGCATCAAACTCCAGTTAAGTAGGGTATTTGGGATGACTCTTTGGCCTCTTGCTTACTACACTTTGGCTTCCTGCTACCCATAATCTGTCTCTTTGAATTCTCTTTTTTTTTTTTTTAACTACTATGAAAACTTTTCAACATATCAAAAGTAGGGAAATAATATAATGAACCCTCATCACTCAGATTCAAGAGTTATCAAGATTGAGGCTGGCCCGGTGGTGTAGCGGTTAAGTGCACATGCTCCGCTGCAGCAGCCCAGGGTTCAGATCCCAGGCACGCACTGACGCACTGCTTGTCAAGCCATGCTGTGGCAGTGTCCCATATAAAGTAGAGGAAGAGGGGCATGGATGTTAGCCCAGGGCCAGTCTTCCTCAGCAAAAAGAGGAGGATTGGCAACAGATGTTAGCTCAGGGCTGATCTTCCTCACAAAAGAAAAAAAAAAGAGTTATCAAGATTTTGCCACAGTTGCTTCATCTATGCCTTTTTTCTTTTGCTTTAATTTGTTTAAAACTTGTAGAGCCACAAAGAAACAATATTAAAGGTAGCTAGACAAAAAAAATAACGTACAGAGGAATTCCTATTAGGCTCTCAGCCAATTTCTCGACAGAAACTTTACAGGCTAGGAGGGAGTGGAACAACATATTCAAAATTCTGAAAGACAAAAACTTTTAGCCAAGAATACTCTATCCAGCAAAAATATCCTTCAGATATGATGGAGAAATAATAACTATCCCTGATACACAAAAGCTAAGGGAGTTCATTGCTACAAGACCCCCACTACAAGAAGTGCTCAAGAAGGCCCTCATGCCTGAGGAAAAAAAGAGAAAGGGGATACAAAATTTTGAACAAGGAAGAAAACATGTCGACAAAACCAAAAAAATTGCAGCTCTCTATCAGAATAGATTAGCAAACACTCAATTGTAAAACCAAAGATCAAGGGAAGGAAAACACCAAAAATAAATATAACCTCATCACTTTAAACACAAACTCACAAGACAAGGTGGAATAAGTTGTGACAACAATAACTTAGAAGGGCAAGAGGAAAGGGATCGAATCGACTTAGTCTAAGGGAATAAGAGGCCATCAAAAAATGGACTATCACATCCACATTTTTTATACAAACCTCATGGTAACCACTAACCAAATAACCAGAACAGAGTCACACACAATAAATAAAGAGAAAATTAAGAGAACCTCCATACAGAACTACCAAACTGAATTGGTAGTCCGAAACACACAGGACGAGAAACAAAAGAAATGCAAGAGAACTGGAAAATGAACAAAAAAATAGCAACAATAAGCCCTCATATATCAATCATTACCCTAAATGTAAATTGACTAACTCTCCAATCAAAAGACACAGAGTGCTGGGATGGATTAATAGACAAGACCCAACAATATGCTGCCTCCAGGAAACACATCTCAGCTCTAAAGACAAGCACAGGCTCAGAGTGAAAGGATGGAAGACAATACTCCAAGCTAACGGCAAACAAAAGAAAGTAGGTGTTGCCGTACTTATATCAGACAGAGAAGACTTCAAGATAAAACAGGTAATGAGAGACAAAGAGGGGCAATATATAATGATAAAAGGGACATTCCACCAACCAAGAAGATATATCACTTATAAATATACATGCACCTAACACAGGAGCACCAAAGTACATAAAGCAACTATTAACAAACCTAAAAGGAGATATTAACAACAACAAAATAATAGTCGGGGACCTTAACACCCCACTTACATCAATGGATAGATCATCCAGACAGAAAGTCTAAAGGGAAATAATGGACTTAAATGAAAAACTTGATGAGATGGGCTTAATAGATATATAGAGAGCACTCCATCCAAACACAGCAGATTATACATTCTTCTCAAGTGCGCATGGAAGATTCTTAAGAATAGACCACATGTTGGGAAACAAAGCATGCCTCTATAAATTTAAGAAGATTGAAATCATAACAAGCATCTTTTCCAACCATAACACCATGAAGCTAGAAATCAACTACAAGCAAAAAACCGGGAAAGTGACAAAGATGTGGAGATTAAACAACAGGCTACTGAACAACCAATGGATCATTGATGAAATTAAAGGAGAAATCAAATCATGTCTGGAGACAAATGAAAATGAAAAGATACCATACCAACTCATATGGGATGCAGCAAAAGCAGTCCTGAGAGGGAAACTCATAGCAATACAGGCCCACCTTAACAAACAAGAAAAAGCCCAAATAAGCAACCTCAAACTATGCCTAACTGAATTAGAAAAAGAAGAACAAACAAAGCCCAAAGTCAGCAGAAGGAGGGAAATAATAAAAAGTAGAGCAGAAATAAATGATATTGAAACAAACAAAAACAGTAGAAAGGATCAATGTAACAGAGTTGGTTCTTTAAGAAAATAAACAAAATTGACAAACCCTTAGCCAGACTCACCAAGAAAAAAACAGAGAAGGCTCAAATAAATAAAATTAGAAATGAAAGAGAAGAAATTACAATAGATACCACAGAAATACAAAAGATTATAAAATATGAAAAACTATATGCCAACAAATTGGACAATCTAGAAGAAACAGATAAATTCTTAGACTCATACAACCTCCCAAAACTGAATCAAGAAGAAATAGAGAACATGAATAGACCAATCACAAGAAAGAGATTGAAACAGTAAGCAAAGATCTCCCAAAAAATAAAAGTCCAGGACCAGATGGCTTCTCTAGAGAAGTTTTACCAAACATTCAAAGAAGATTTAATACCTATCCTTCTCAAACTATTCCAAAAAATAGAGGAAGATGGAACACTTCCCAACACATTCTACGAGGCCAACAT